CTTCATCTCTTCTTTCAGGTGGTCATGATCACAGGAGACAACCCCCTAACTGCATGCCATGTTGCAAAAGAACTCCACTTTATCCAGAAAGATCACACACTTATTTTGCAGCCGAGCCTCAATCAGGGTACACATTAGTTTCATCACTTAATTATGTGAGTGTTTTGACATCTGGCTTGAATAACGAGAAGTTTTATGTATAAATGCTGCTTTTGCAGGTCAGTGGCACTGGGAATCCATTGATGGCACTGTATCTGTTGCACTGCCCCCTCCTTCAGTTTCTTCGTTTGTGCAACAATTTGACTTGTGTGTAACAGGAGAAGGGCTGGCCCGGTTGGGCTGTGATCCCCACCTTCTCCACACACTGTTACCACATATACGAGTATTTGCTCGAGTCAGTCCAAAACAAAAGGTAGGTCCTGAAGCAGAGGTCTTTAAGTTATAGTTTGTGCACTCTCTTCCTACTTCAACAAAAGTGTTTGCAACAAAAGTTTGATTTTATGTGTTTTAGGAATTTGTAATCACCAGTCTAAAGGGACTTGGTTATGTGACCTTGATGTGCGGTGATGGCACAAATGATGTCGGAGCACTTAAACATGCTCAGATAGGTAAGTTATTTTTATACAACTCATAGTACTGAAACAAGTTTGCCAAGAATCACCTCCAGTTGTGAACAATGAACATGTTGTTTTCTCACAGGGGTGGCCCTTTTAGCCAATGCTCCAGAGCGCATGCCTGAGAAAAAGAAGCGGGGTAGAGATAAGGAGTCGGCAACATCAGACTTCAGGCCTGTACCACCTGCCAGTACTGGTGTCAAGCTGAGCTCCAGAGCAGCCAGACAGCGGGCTATGGCCCAGAGAGAGGAGCAGCTTGCAGCACAAAAGGTGTTCTACTCTTAACATTTAACAAAAATTTTTACATCTTCTTTTGGAAACATAATGTAATCATAGAGGCAATTAATTAATTACAATGGGTATTTTGCTCTAATTTGTCACAATCTCTCTAGTTGCAACTATCCAACAAATATAAAAAATCTCTTTGTTTTATGTTTAAATTAGAGCCTTTAGAGAAGTACTGAGATGTCTTAGATTGCAAGAACAGGGAGCAAGGCCTAGTTTTTGGTTAAAGATAAAACTAAATAAGACTTAGAATATATTTAAGATTTATTATTAAAGAGGTCAGAATAGAAGGGATTAGAAATATCCTTTAATGTCCCACAGTGAGGAAATTCAGGTGTAAAAGCAACAAATTTGTAAATGTAAGTTTGCATTGAGATAAAAAAAAAGAATTATTTTCTGTTCTGTCTCATCATTCAACGTCATCATATCCATTTGACATCGGTTACTCAACAAAATATACTTTGAGTATTTTTTCAATACTCAAAAAAAAGCTTACTTTTGTTAACCATATTTTGTGCCTACCATAACATGAAGAAACATACACTACTCTAACCATCAGGTTTTCTCTGTAATAGGAAAAAATCAACCAGGTTCTACGAGAACTTGAAGAGGATCAGGTACAAGTCGTCAAGCTGGGTGACGCTTCCATTGCTGCCCCCTTCACGTCAAAACTCTCCTCCATTCAGTGCAGTGAGTCACATGTTTCAATGCTTATTTCTGTAATTAAAACTGATTATTAACTCTCAGACTCAATTTGTTTTTGTTTTTTCTTTATTCCACCAGTTTGCCATGTAATAAAACAAGGTCGCTGCACTCTGGTTACAACACTGCAGATGTTCAAGATTCTAGCTCTCAATGCACTTGTGCTGGCCTACAGCCAGTCTGTCCTCTACCTCGAAGGAGTCAAATTCAGTGATTTCCAGGCAACTCTGCAAGGCTTGCTTTTGGCTGGGTGCTTTCTCTTTATATCTAGGTCAAAGGTTAGAATTTGACTTATTTATTGTAAAGTTAACATGTTTTTGGTGCTTACCCTAAAGGTAAATTTTGAAATTCCACCATAGTTTTGTTTTATTTAAAAAAACAGACAAATTAGGATTTCTTTTCTCCTCTATTCACAGCCTCTGAAAACGTTGTCTCGAGAGCGGCCTTTACCAAACATCTTCAATCTGTACACAGTGTTGACTGTGCTGCTGCAGTTTGCAGTTCACTTTTGTAGTCTTGTGTATCTTTATAAAGAGGCACAAACCAGAAGTCCACCAAGGTAAGCAAAAGTACAACGAGGTAAGACCAAAGACCTCTTGAAAACCATGCATCACAGTAATAGCATGGGAAATGTGTGCTTTTAACTAAATGGGCATTTCTTTGTTCAAATAAAACATAAATAATTGCTCACCAGTATTAGTTATTTTAAATTATTTAACAACTTTTTGTCTATGATGTTTTTGGATTGATAATTTCTTAGAATGTATCTTTTGAAGATGGGACATCCAAACTGCTGATGAGCAAACACTTGTTTTATTTCACATAAAATGTATACAATGTTTTCTGTCTTTCCTATCAGTGATACTTTGTGTATACTTTATCATTTTTATGTTTCTTTTTTTTGCAGAGAGGAGCAGTTTGTAGATCTGTATAAAGAATTCGAACCCAGCCTAATTAACAGCACTGTGTACATAATGTCAATGGCCATGCAGATGGCCACCTTTGCCATAAACTACAAGGTATCTTTTCACATTTGTGACCATGTATTGGTTATTTAAAACCATATCTAAATAACCGGTATTTATTTACATAATGGATTCCTCTTTGTGTCTTACAGGGTCACCCATTCATGGAGTCTCTCAGTGAAAATCGACCACTACTGTGGAGTATCGTACTTTCAGGGTTAGCAATTGTCGGGCTTCTTACTGGCTCCTCTCCAGAATTCAATGAACAGTTTGCTCTTGTAGAAATTCCAACTGAGGTGAGTTAACATTATTTTACCATTTCTTGTTTTCATAGCCTTGTAATTACACAAACCCTTATGAGATTGTGTAACATGCTTTGTATGCTTTCTTGCAGTTCAAATTAGTAATTGCCCAGGTTCTGGTGGTGGACTTTGTTGTTGCTCTGCTCGTGGACCGTGTCCTGCAGTTCTTCTTGGGCAAAGGAACTCTCAGGCTGCCTTCTTGATCTCAGTGCCAACAGCAAATGCTGCCCTTATAACCAAACTGTAAAGGGACAGAAGACTTTGAAAGAGGAAGAAAAGTACAGCTGTTGTTCCAAACACAAGACAGCTGAAATGGTCATGGCATGTAGGACTGTTCACTCTGTGTATCCCTTTTTTGTCCCTCCTGAACTCTGTACATTTGTTTTTCTTTTCCCATTTGCTCAGTCTCCATTCTAATGGTTTTTATAACAGTCCATTTTTCTACATCTTTCCTTTGTTTTTCACTCCCCACTCTTATGAAAGGCCATGAAGACAGCAGTATTGAGTGGAGTTTCAGATTGTGCTAACCAGAGTGAAAACTACAGGCACAAAAAAGGGCATTCTCCAAGAGAATTGCAATAGTGTTTTGGATTTTTTTTCCTCCCTTGTTTTTGTAAAAAGTGAAAAAGAAATTTAACAGACTTATAAAGATTTAAAATTATGACATATTCATTTTGTCTTTTTTTGTGTATTTTTATTGTATTGAGAGAATGCAAGTAGCAATCATTAATTTTTGCTGGTAAGTTTGGCATTACTAAGATATGAGAATACAATATAAACCAACATGGAAACAAGATTGTTTATCAAAGTGTGTGTCATGGGATGCATCATGCTGACCAAAAACGAAAGTACTGTTTTGTTAAAATCTCCAATACTAAAATTTTTTTATTTTTTTAAAATGCAATAAAATTTTGTTTTGATGACATAACTATCACAGCTAAAAGATATGCAAGTTGTTAAGTTTAACTTATTCTGATTAAGATGGAAATAACTCAAATGTCCAATTTAAACTGGAAATTTAAATTGGACATTTTTGAACATACGCAATTATTAGATCAAGTAAAGGCACCTTGCAACTTCAGAGATGAATGCAGAATATAACTTTTACTTTTTCAAGTTTATAAACTGGCTAATAAGTTTTAAAAAAAATCTATTTTCTAACTTGAAGCAGAGTAATTTCAAGCAGATTCCAAGAAATTTCTAAGTGCTCCACCAACAAAAACTAATGATAATGAAAGAAATGGAGAATGGTAAAAATCTCTCAAAGAGTAGAATAGTCTGAAGAAACTAAGCTGGACGTTTTGGACAAAACAGAAAAATAAAACGGCAGTAAATCATGGTGTGGACAGAATCGTGCTTTTGGGATTACTTTTCTTCACATGGATCTGGTGTTTTTATGAGAGATGAAATTATCAACAGTTTCAAATGTCAGTTTTTATTCAAAACCTTTATCTGCTGTAAAGATAAAGATGGATTTTATGTTTTAGCATCACTTTGAATTCACACAAGCCAATCAAAAAAATTACTTCAGACGAAAAACAAAACTTTTTTGTCCAGAATAAAATTACCTTTGGTAGGTAAAGGGTGGAGATGCAGAGTGACAAGTCCTTGCTACCAAAGAAGGCTGAATGCTGAAACTTTATTCCAAATTCAACTCACTGATATTAGTTTTGTCAAAAATTTTTGTATTTTTAAAAAATACATGTCATGACTTAAGCGCAAAAAGTTTTTAAGTGTTTTGTCATGGTTTTACTGTTTAAGAAGAGGTACAAAACAAAAGCATTTGAACATTTTAACTTTGGAGAGCCTCTGTAAACTTGTCTTTCTTTATTTCTCTATTTTTGCAAGTCCTTTAAATATTGTTCAGAGAACACAGTGCCAAAACTTTATCCAAAGGGATCACAATAAATATCACCTTTGCTAAAATGCCTCTATTCAACTTTTCATATAAGCATTTCTAAATGTATCTATGTATTTTGTATAAATGTAGAAATTAATCTAAGGTGCAACAAATTTAGTTTTAAGCCTTGACCCTTGCATTGTTTGACTACATTTCCCATGAGCCTTAGAGCCGTGAAAGGGTGGGTTTGATCTTTGGGCGCGCGCTATAAGGACACCTATTTGAAATTAAAATGGCGGAAAAGAAGGCTGAAGTTGAGCACGGGTATGTTTTGTTTTAAGCTCGTAATACAACTGATTTAAATCAAACAAATCAATTACCTTGCTACTGTAAATACTTTTAAACGAACTGTATTGTTGTCATGTTTTGGTGGCGTTTTGTTCTGATCTGAGGTAAACATTAAAGCGACTTTTTCGTCTGTTTCCCACTTTAGTGTTGAGGCAGACAAACCCTCAGTAGAGGTGAGAAATAAAACCCTTTCTGTAGTTTATAGAAGATGATTTGCTGAATGGAGAGTTAGTGGCTTTGTTGTTTATGCCAAGGTCCAGTCTGCGATCCAGACTTCTAAAAGATGCTCCTCTCCAGTCCCGGAGTCGGAACCTCCTCTCAAGTGTCACCGGACCGACTCGACACTTTCTACCACACAGACGACAGATCCTGGAGCCGAACAGTCAGAGATGACGAAACAAGAAATGGAGACACTCACAATAAATCCCTGTGAACAGAATAAATCCTGGAGGAGAAACACCATAACCCGACGCTCCCTCCCTGCCCTTCCCAACCCATATGAGAGTGAGACCACAATAAAACATTAATGTTTCCTTTTGTTCAAGACAAATAATAATCTAAATGAATCTGTTCTAGGTTTGTGCAGAAGCATAAGTCCATCCTTACCACAACAAGAGAGACTTGAAAAACTGCTGGAGGCTTCAATGGAGGTATGTTAAGTGAAGCTATAGAAACCAAATGCATTGGACCATTATAATAAGTTTCTCCTGAACTCGAAGAAGGTCCAAAATAGCTCATTTGTTTTTCTTTGTCTGTTTCAACACTTAAAAGAATAAATGCAGATGTTATGAAATATAGTCAATATCAGTTTTATGTTCATATTTTGCTAAATGGATATTGTTTGCTCAAGATTAGAAGAATGACTAGATATTTACTTAATACGAGCCACAAAATTACACAACAAAACGTGAGTAAACAAAAAAAAAATTTCTTGTAAATAAACATTTCAAAATCGATTTTGTGTCCCTCTCAGTATACCGTCTGTAAGCTGTTAGAATATTTTTTGTTTATTCACACATATTTGCTTTGCAGATGGCACTAGAAAGAACTCAAAATTCACTTGAGTCATTTCCAAAAGCTTCACTGGACTCCTTCAAAAAACAAGGTTGGTAGTTTTTTTTTTTTTTTTTTGGGAGCTCAGTATTTTAAATTATTGAAACAAAAATTTTATGTTCTCTGTTCTTTGCGTTTTGTGTAGTTGAAAACATCAAGATGGAGTGGAGCTGCTTAACCAAAAATACAAGCAATGAACCAGATAAACTATCTTCAAGTCAACCAAAGTATGCATACATTTTAAAATTTCACTGCACTTTTGGTTTTAATCATGATGACTGTCTTCTTTACATTTGTCTTTTATTGCTTTGAAGTTGCAGTCAGCCTGCTGTGCAAAGAGCCATGGAAAATGTCCAGAAAGCAATCAGCAGGCATGTTGTTCTGTCTACTCTCATGTCCGATGCTTATTTTAGAATAATTATAAATATAAAATGGCCTCATATATGATCTTTTCATTTTGTTTTTTCTTAGGCTCAAGGCTGAAAGTGAGTCTTGGGAGGCACTTTTGAACAAACACAAGAAAAAAGCAGAGGAACTGGAAAAGTAAACATTTGTATTTGTATTGTCATTAAGCATTCACATGACAGTGTTATCCACGACTTTCTTTGAATTTGTACCAATCACGTTATTGATTTTCCACTGCAGGAAGGTGAAGATGGGACAGGAGACGGGCATACCTCTAAACTCTACATTAATAGTCCAGTCCTCGCAGAACTCTGTCATACAGAGTAAACCCAACTACCACAATGTCCTCTGTAGGCAGCGACCCATGATGCATACTATGGCCATGATTGTATGTTGGACTTTTTTTTTTTTTTGTCCTCAAAACAATTTAAAAAGTTATTGTATTTTCAAGCTTTATGTTCTAAGCTCTAACATGAATGTCAAGATAAGAGTGGGCTTGCAGTAGTGTATTTGAAATGTTGCTTCCTTGGGCAGAATGACTATGACATGCACACCCACACCACACACTTCAGTATATTGGGTGGAGGGTGAAGAGAAATAGCCATAAGAACTGAGATTTTTCACAGGCATACTTGGAAATGAATGGAACACAAATACATTTACAAATACAAGCCTTTTCAATGTTCATGAAACCACTATAATGTCAGAATTTAACTGTTTCTATGTGCAGTGCTTAGAATTATTGCTAACTTTTGTTGACGGACAAAGAAAAGAGCAGACTCAACATTTCTCCATTCAACATATTTCAGCTTTTTAACATGCATGTATGTAACTGAATACAGATTGATTATCAAGTAAGTTTCAAGATTAGTATTCTGTATTGTCTATTTTGGAACAGTTTTGTTCCGGTATATTTTTGTTTGTGTTATCTCACAGATATTATTTACAATAGATATTTCCTTCCATAACAAGCATAGGGATGAGAAGGTTGCAACTCAATCACTGGGAAACGCAGACAGAGGACACACAGCAACTTAGACCGACCAGTTTTCAGATAGAAAACAAAGCTTTACAATTTTTCAAAGCAATGTTAATGCAACGTTGTCATCATTTTATTTTGTAACATAGATTATTTTTTCTTGCCTGTAGATGGAGACTCAGTGTAAAATGATACAGCAGCTACATACCATCAAGGAGCAGTCACAGCTGTTAGTCAAAAAGACCAGTGTCCAATTAGGTAACGACTTTTCTTGAACAATACATCTTCTTTTTGTGATATTTTGACATTTTCTGTGATGGTCTAGTGAAAGAAACTTTCACACTAATTATTTTTATTTCTATGCTGTCTCCAGCTGAGGAGGCCGGATTCCAGGAGCTTTCATCGAACCTTCTTAAGAATCTGATGTCGGCACCTTTGCAAAAGGCAACTACATAAACAATATGTCCCAAATAGATGATGCTTCTGTAGAGCTGAATCCAACGACTGTTAAAAATGTACATATATTCTTGTGCTTTTATATCATTTTCCAAATTTGTTGATTTTCCTGTCCTGTTTTATTAAACAAAGAGAAAATAACATTTTATGTTATGCTCCAACATAGCTACTTTAATGGCAGTGGCAAATTATACATGGATTTGACCAGCAGGTGGCAGTGGTGAGCTATTTACAAAATCGTATTGAAGGTGGTGAATTGCCTGAGTAGATTATTCTTTTGGCCTTAATTAAGTGCATTTTCATATGTAAATCCTGAAAACTGTTTAGACCCATTAGCAAATGTTTCCACCATCCAGCAAAGTATGGTCCCTGTTTTTGGTGTTATCAAATTAAACTACAATAATAATAAATAAAACAGCCACCTCGTCTTAAAAGTGATTACCAAAGTATGTTGATAACTATGGCAATTAATGTTGCGGCAATAAAGAATTCATAGTTTTGACAGTAGGATATATTTTATATATTTGATGCTATAGTTAACTTGAATAATAATAAAACCCCCAAAAAATCAAAGGTAAATTCCTGAAAGCACCAATGTGATGACAATGTTAGTTCAAAAAGCAATGACGTAGCATAAATTGTGAAACATTTTTGATTATATTCTTGTTAAACTATTCAAGTAAAAATGAAAAGGAAAACTTTTCTTCTTACTTTACACACATTCTTGCAAACCCTAGAGGCTCACCCCCTGTCACACTTGCTCCTGTTTGGTGCTGCATCTATTGCACTTCATCAGTGTCCCCTGACCATACAGAAGGAGGCCCCTCCCCCACAGTGACTCACCCCCATCCCTTGCTTGGCTTGGTCACTGATGCAGAACGAAGCCTTGACATTGTACCAGTCAGGCAAAGCTTCATTTGCTATCTCTCAAATCTCTTGGACCAATTCATTAATTAACACGTATGCTTTAATTTGTGCCTCTCTTGATTGCAGCAATAAAAGCCCTTATTTTTTTCCCCCACACAACACAAGTCTATAACTTTGCACTGGAGTTACGATCCCCAGTGTGGTTTCTGGAGGATTTTCTTGTGGCTTTATTCAGAGGAGTGATTGCAGAGCATATGGAAGCAAGGAGGAAAATGTAGGGCTTTGACCATGAGAGTTGCTAGTAAGGGAAGATGGTGCACAGCAGGATAGATCGATTCTTATTTAGATGAAAATGAGGCTTGATGCTTGTGGGGTGAGAGGAGGGCAGCGTTAGCATCCAAATGAGTAAAGGTTTCACAGAAATTGTTCTTAAGTGAATCACCAACAATAATTTAAAAAAAACTTGACAAAGTCAGTGACAATGGTTTTGCTTTCAAAGAAAAACAATCTTGACAGTGACAAAAAGCAAATACTTAAATATCAGACTTGGTAAAAATTACATTATAAAGTTACTTTAGATTTTTAAAGGTTCACATGTAAAATGCATGCAATTGGGAAAACTACAAGATAGTTTACATGTTAAGCTTCTCGTTTAACTTGATTTTGACTTCTTAAAAGCCCATGCATAGAGCAAGAACTGTTTACTGGATTTGCTGTTTTTGTTGTCTCTAACTTTAGATTGATTAGTTACAGATTGTAGTAGATGGATAGCAGGAGAGTCAGCATAAATAGTCAGTTTGGTCATACTCCCTCATGCACACCCATCATCTCCTCTCAGTCTAACAGAGCTGGCTGCTGCTCTCCTCCACATCCATTCAGTCTGCCATTCGTCTCGGAAAGCTGTCTCTGTGATCTGAGTGATAAACAACATCAGAATTGCCCAGTTTGCAAAAAGCAAGGACACTTGTTTTCAATCTGCTGTCAACGTTTTTCATACTGAAAACTGATGGGATGTTTCATTCATCAGGGGTATGGGACAGTATCCTGAACTGTTTTGCTCTGGGACTGAGCACTTCTGGAAATTGGCACAGTTTGCACACGCATATGCACGTCAGTGACTTTGCATAACTTATAATGTTAGTTGCATAGTTAGCAAGTCTATACAGGTACAGCAGGATTTTCCTGCTATTTTTACACGTAGTCGCCAAGGTTTTGGTTAGTCAAAAGCTGAGGTTTTGTTTGGACTATAAAAGTTAATGTAACATTCTTTACAAAATATGAATTCATCTGTGTAAAACCAAGCTACCATTTTATTTGGGCAGCATTCAAATCACAGTTTTTGGTTTACTAGTAGATTTTGCAGCGTAGTATAATCGTAAATTAGATCTAATATTTGCATATGCGGTGGGAAATGTTTCGAGATATATTTTTTTTCTATCTACAGATGCTCTCGATTTTATAGTTTATCATTTACCCACCCACAAAATCGCGCTCTGTGGTGCTGTGAGTTTTAATGGTCAAAGCGACGTACACCATTCCGCCGAAGAACATCCCACACACTCATCAACAACAATGGCAAACCCTAGTCTGTTTTGGTAACACTTTTTTTTATAGGAGCAACAAGGTTGGAAACTGTGTGTTCACACCTGATATAACTCCTAAATTACCGCGCTGTTTTTAAAGACGCGTATGCTCGTTTGTGGCTACGTTTTCGTTCTACATTTTTCCTGAAAATGTGCGAGGCGCTCACACAGGCTGTGCATGTGTGTCCCTGCTGCCTTTCTGCTGGGCTACTGCTGCTAACCTAGCTGCTTCTTTTTTACACGGTGGTTAGCCTCCGTTAGCCTGGCCGCGTTTATCAACTAGTAGAAGAAACAAAAGATACAGACGAATGTAAAGCCTGTTCGTGCTGTTTGATTTGCAAAAACAGCCCCGAACTAATCACCTATTGTCGCTGTCGGGTAAGGGAATAAGTGTTGTATGATTTATCGTGGAAAACACTTTGCTGGCTAGCTAATAGGCTAGCTATTTGATTGTGTTCGTCGACTGAGGAAAACGGCGAGTTTTCTTTGAAAGTATGGATGATCAGACTAGGATGCTGACGGGTCTCACCGGACTCGGTGGACTATCACAGCCCGATGTCGGTGATCCGGACTCGGTCCGGAAACAACAGTCCCTCGGTCAGCCGCAACAAGACATTGGAGATATTCTACAGCAAATAATGGCCATCACCGACGAAAGCCTGGACGAAGCACAGGCCAGGTAAGACTTGTGAAGAGCCATTTTCCACTCATGATAGCTAAGCTAAAGTCAGTTTTTTTTTCTTGCGTGATTTGAAATTAAGATAGTTTGTTATTGAGGGATTAATGTAACGTTACACTGCGACGTTAATTTGCACCAAAGTATGAAAGTGAATGTACATTTTGTGCCTGCAAATACTGAACATATTCGGAGTCCACTGGAGAGTGTGGGTATTTGTAAAACAAGAGAAATAAAATACAATCTTGTTGCTGCAAATTACATCTCCTTGAATATGTAAACATACTGGCTTGGTAATAGTAGACGATCATCTGTACTAATTGGTTTGCCATTAAAATATTAAATCGGGGGGGAATAAAAAGTCTGTGATTAGTATTACATTTTGGAGGGTGCTGGGAAAAGAAAATGCATCCAAAACTAAAATTTGTTACTTTTTATTTAGTGTTAATTTACCTATGTATGAAGAAAATACAAATTTTAAAGTTTTTAAAACTTTTCATCAAATCTAAACTATTGTGAAGTAGCAGCTTTGTAAACATTATGAAAAATTAGTATATCAAAAGGACCTTAATAAAATTAAAATCGGTTATATTATTGAAATAATTTTTTCACAGCTTGTTTAGCTGAAAATTGCTTTTTATGTACAGTCCAAAATAGTAGGAAGGGTTAGGGTTAGGAATCAAACTGTAAAGTGGGGGGAAATCCCACATAAAGTTAAGATCACCCAGTCCTGCATGTCTGTGGTGGTTGTGATGTGTCAGCTCTTTATTAATGTAATGTTTGCATTAGAAGTATTTTACCTACACTTATTGACAGCATGTACCTCACTGAGTGACTGACTCACACTCATTTGCCATGTGGCTCAAAGAGCATAAGGTCAGTTTCAAATGAAGCGTCAGTATTTCAACAATAGACAACCGTCCACTGCAAGACTGTGGCCACAGTGTGATGTGTCATTAGCTAGTGATTTTCCACCCAACATTTGACCACCTGGTTCTCTTAATTAATTCACTCCTTTCACTCCCTCCCTCGCTGGTGTTCATCCTTTTCATTGTGTGCTGGGTGCAATCAATTCTCCTATAATGTGTACGCGAGTGCAGCTGTCCGCAAATCGAGTTTCTATTAATGAGATGGTGGTGAGGGGGAGGAATGATGCTATACTGGCAGCCTATGAATGTTGAGATATTACATTTTCTTGACTACTACTTTGGAGAGTTCATCACACCTCATGGCACAATTAATTTTGCGTTAAAATAGTTCTTGCTGATGTTTCAGTTTCATCTGTTGTATTTCAAGTTTGTGCTGACAATAGGCAACGGCGGAACTGTTGTGAACTTATTTAGCTAAATTATTCATATTTATAAGTACAAAAAAATCAGTTGCACTGTAGAACATACTACGTTGGCACTTATTTATGAACTATTGTAGAAGTTACTGTACACACACACCTCCACCGTACTATATATGTTCTCTATCATCATACCTGGAAAAATAAATGACAGAAGTGCCTTTGTGACAATGTGCCTTTTTACTGACTTTTTACTAATTTACTTGTTTTTTTGAGAAAATTCCAAAACATGAGCAACTTCAACACCAAACGGTGAATGTTGTTACAGATGAAGGTCCTAATAAAGACTAAATGACTTGCATTTTATTGTCTTTTTTTTCACTGTATGCCAATATGTCAATCATTTCCTAGGTCAGGATGATCTACATTTTAATGTGTAAAGTCGTTCTTACAGTTGCATGACATCCCTGTCATGTAACGTGGCAGTATAGGGTAGGGAGTGGTCAGGTTAGCACAAGAAGTTGGTGTTGCAGAGTACCCTTCCTGCGCACCATCCACCCTCATCCTCTCACCGTGTCACCATATGCTCAGATCCTGGCCAGAGGAATCGCCAGCGCATTGGGGTGGATCAGACGACCCCACAGAGGGAGGGAGAGCAGGGGGGGGCATGGCAGGGGGTGGCCTGCCACTCAACTTCCAGCACAGGTCAGTACTGGACCGCATGCACACCTTCTTCTCCCCCCCTCCTGCTCATACCCTCCATGGTGAAGACAGCCCTCCCCCATCTCAAATTGAGCAGTGACAGATTTTGTGGAGGAACTTGACATTTAGTTCTAGACACATAATTTAATTTTTATAATAAAAATAATTTTTTCCCCCTCAAAACTCTGGCAGAGAGGCATTCCTTTGGACTGGGTCTTGTAGGTGCCACTTCCCTCTTTTAAAACTGCAGAGGATGTTTACAACAGAAATGGGAGTTGTGGTTAGACCAGGTGTAGCTAGTTCATATTCATCACTGGCTGTTATATGTTGGCTCTCTGTGCTTCATGCTGTTTCAACAAGAAATTGTTTATTTTTTTAAATGTTTCTTTTTTGCATGTCTTTTTTTTCGTAACAGGCATGAAACGTATACTTATGTTTTTCCTAACCGCATATCAATGTTGTCACCTAAAAAATATTTGTGTTTCCTGCTTAAAAGCAGCAAGACTAAACAATACAAAAACAGACAATAGGTAGGTTTTCATTCAAAGGGACCAAATCCCAAAGGACTTGGCTGCAGACCTCGCTGCTCAAGCACCTTTCTGTCACCTCACTTTTCAGGCCCCTCACTTGCTCTCCTTCCTCAGAACTGTAAACCAATCCAAATATAGAACATATATATCTGATTAAGTAAACTTAAGTGACAGTTGTATCGCAGAGGGCTTCAATTTTTTGTCATATTATGTAAAATAAATTCATATTGTCTCACATGCAGATATTGACTTAGTTGTGTGTTTTACATAATTGGAAGTACATTAGGGGATTTGTCTTTGAAAGGTAGACTGAAATTTTAAACTCTTCATTCTAAATTCATCATCAGTTAAAATGAAATAAGTCATTTACAGACATCCTTAAAAAAATTATTGTGGTAGACTTGTATTGTCTTGACTATATGTAATGGTTAGCTTTTCCAGAGATTACAGCTGTTTTGAACATTTTATCTCATGGCAATAGATATAGATAACGTTAGGCTCATATCTATTGCCATAGACTATTTCCTGATATTTTTATTTTTTTTGGAGGAATAGTCTTCTACCTTGAACTTGGATGACCACATGTAAGACATTTGAAAGTTTACATCTATAGTAGAAAGCTGTAATCCATACAGCAGATGCAGTACTCTTGTGTCTAAATTTGAGTGTTAGACTCAGAGGGAAGGAGTATAGCAGGGCTGGACAATAAATCAATTACAGCAATATATATTGTTATGTAGACATGGTCAATAGTTCAGTCTCGCGCGGCATTCTGGGGAATGTAGGCAGAGCAAAGGGTTTAACTTCTCAATCTCTCTTGGCGAGCTAAACTAGATTGGTGGAATCACTCATTGGTAAGCTCACACTAACCTGCTGAGTAACTTGTGCAGCAGCAGACCATAACGTCTTAAAAAATAAAAAAATGACTGAGTGAAAGGAAAAAATGAATACAATAGCTTGCGAGGAAATTTTTCATAAAACATTAATGATTACATTATTAGTTTGGCAGTGTTATGGATTTTTGATTTATAATTTGTGTTAATTAATGGTTAATAAGAGCTGTATGCAGTTTATAAGCTCACCTGATACATTAGCCATGTTGCAAAAGCTAACTAGTGGCTCCATATTAAGTAATGCTTCTTTATTTCATACAAGTGTTCCCAATATTTTTGGAGTCGAAAAGACATGTTATGAAGCAATATCTAATTAATTGTTCTTAGATTTTTCTCAGAGCTCAAACATGTTATCTAATGGTTATGGTAGATGGTTATTTTCACAACTGAATTTGAAATATTGTGACAACCTATTTCACCAGAGGATGGGATTTGAGGCTCTTCTGCTTATGGTTGTAATTAGAGCTGCACATTATCAGAAAGATGCATATTTGCAATAGTGCTGCTGAAAATTGCGACAATATTGATTATGATTAATCTGTGTTTTCTTGTTCTTTTTTTTTTTCTTTAGTATTTTCTTTACTGTGAGCTTCAGCATATATTCACATTTTCTTTACTGTGAATATATATATTCAGTGAATATTTTATATATATTCACTGAATATATATAAACATATATTCGGTGCATAAGGGCAGTTAGAGTTCCTTCTAGTGGCCAACTATATTATTGATATGCAGAGTGGGAATGGATGTCACTTAAATTTAAGACTGCACAACATATTGCGGATATATCCGCACTGCAATATCAGCCTGTGCAATATTCATACTGCAAAAGACTGTTTGGAGTGGAAAAAATATTTATTCTAAGTGTATGAGTTTTCATTTTTTATGCTATTGTAATATTTATCCACTTGGACAATTTCACAGCAGCAGATATTCTGGTTTGACACAAACAATACTGCTCAAAATGCTAAAGTTTACAGAGTGAAAGAAAAGAGAAAAACTCTCATCATAAGTTAGCAACTGGTATTGTCATCACAATATTTACCAATATCGTCATTGCAAATCCTGCTTGAAATATAGTGTCTTGTCAAATATTTTCAGTCCTTGCTTGCGAATGAGATGTTGCATTCTATTGGGATTCCATTCTTTGTGGAACTAAAATAGAAATCGCTGTCCTCAATAAATCAAAAAACAAACCGAAAAGCTATTTTAGTCTTTTTTTTTTCTTTATTTTTTTCTGTTACAAATAATTTTATAATAAAGTTGTATTTTATTCATTTGGCGTTCAACAAAAGTGTAACGTGTTACAATTTAGGATATTCTACATTTACACACGAATTGACTATAAATATGCATATGAATGCACCCTTCAAAGCCTGGGGTATGTAAGTGTTAAAAGTTTATTCAGTGATGAATACTGTTTGAGTAGTATTCAAATATGGTACTGTGAAAGGCGAAAGTGTTTTGCAAGCATTATTTCCATACAAATGGCTTTTGAAATCAATTGTCGGCGCTTCAAAAATATTTCAATGTGGTGATTTTCCTTGCCGACTTGAAGATTTATGAGTTCATAAAAGTTATTTATTAAAATGACTATAAAATTACAACATTTAAAATATGATTAATCAGTTTCGGTTGTAAAATCAGACTGATGTGAGTGCAGTTCATAACCATACTGCTCAATAAGTAGCTTTTTAACTGTTAACCTTCATATGTTTCCAACAGTCTCCTTCACAGCTTCAATAACTTCAACTTTTTTTTCCCGTTTTATCAATAATTGTATCAATTATAAGAATTATAAGCCATGGTTTTATTCCATTGATAACGTCAGAGCTGCCTGGTATTGTTAAGTATGAGCTTTTTATTCACTGCTGTCTCACCTGCGGAGCAGCAGAATGGATCTGAACTACCTGCCTCAGCAATTTTATATGCAACCCCAGTCGAAGTCGGAACACATGGGTATTTTATTTTTTGTCATGGATAACTTTGCTTTTCTGAAGTGATTATGAGTTAATGGATTGACATAACTGCATTTGTATGAATTTAAAGGGTACCTTTTCTACTTGAAGCAAGAGTTTATTTTTGCTGTATGTATTCTAGTTTGAATATGATGTAAATGAAGGGGCTATATACATAACCCATGTCGTGCATTGCTAAGGTTTTATTAAATTTGATTATAGTGCTGCGTCATCATTTATCTTAGACACTTAGGCATGTAATTTTGGGGTACTTTGAGGTCTATTGAATTAGAAATGTACAAGACAGAATACTGCTTTTGCGCCTGTCTCAGTGTTATTTATACACCATAATGAACATTTTACCTCAAGACAAATAAATATTGAGTGCTCTGCACACTGCTTGTACTGAGCAAAGACTGAAATCAAACCTGCCACAGCATTAAATTATGTTGTTAAATGGAATTTGTTAACCGGATAAGCTGAGGTGATCTCGTTTCTGTAAACTGTAGAGCTTTTATACAGTTTGTTTGGTGATAAAGGTAATTTCTGATCATATTAAAATTGCATCCTAATCCAAATGGGCTCCGTCAACTCCCCATCTAGTTTCATGGATTGAGTACGTCTTCAGCAGGTAGAAATTAGATTACTGCGTATTAACCCTGAAATCAGGTTCTCAGTAATGATGACCTTGAGGTTTGGCATCATTACCTGTTCTTCAGTGCAAAGCGTACTAATGACAATGTTACTCTTGCTAGTTTGGATTGATGCTCCAAGGATGTGTCGATGCTTATAAAGGCATAAAAGAGTTCTGTGCGCATAATGCAGACAGCTGCTCTACTACTTTTTATGAAATAGAAACTTGAAATGACTTGAAATGGAGTTCTGTTTACCCTAATCCCACCTCTCTCCTTCTTTGTTTTATTCCCTCTTCTGTCTTGCAGGAAGCATGCCCTGAACTGTCACAGAATGAAACCAGCACTCTTCAGCGTTCTTTGTGAGATCAAAGAAAAGACAGGTGAGTCTCTACTTCACTCAGCATCTTCCAGTGGGCTCTAGTTGTGTGCACTGAGTAGTGAGATAAAAAGTGCTTTTTGCCCCAGGTCCTTCAGAGGCTTTGTCTTTTTATGCATTTCCTCTCTTAGGACTATGTTGACTAAAGATCATATTTAATCTTTGTGGATGTGTTAATGCTGCATCATTACTATTATGCACCAGGTTAAAATCACAGATTTATGAAACTTCTTTCTTTCCTGGAAACAATCCAAACTTTTCAGCTGAAACTAATCACATGCTGGATTCCAGTTTCCACAAAAATGAAACTTGGAGTTGGGAATGACGTCACACCCAAGTTAACTCTGGTTAACGTAGCCGTAGAAGTTGGGATTCGATTATGGCAGCACCCAAACACCCATTGCTCATTGAACCTCTTTTGAACATCGTCTAAGCTTTACTTTCCACATTTTGTTCAATGTAGAATTGAACTTTGATTTTTAGTCTTATTCTTACAAGTGCATCTTGTAAAATAAACATGTTGCCTCAACAGTTCACCAGTGCCATATCGGATCTCAGTGTCAGCTTTTTAAAAGTTCTTTGACGTTTGGGTAGAAGGGCATTTCTGTTGATTTTTTTTTTTTCCAACTCTGTAGAACATTTGAGTTCTGACGACAAATGGAGTGCAGAATTAGTCAGTATCTTTTTAAATACGAGTAAGATGCCAAAACTTAACATCTCAGACTCCACTAGCTAATACTTCAGTTTAGATTTACATTTTAACCTGGAACAGAAAGGTGCAGAATAGTTTTACCTTTTTGATAGTTGGTAGATATTGGCTTACATATCGTAATGGTGATATTGCTAAAAATTATAACTCTGGCAATAAATGCACATTTTTGCCACTCCTTTGCATCTATTCAACTCTCTTTCAGCTGTAGTTTATTTAACATTGCATCTATCTACTGCATTCAACAGGCTGGGTCTATATTTGGCATGCAAAGCATTGGAATATAATGACCAACAAATACTCCACTCCCAATAGCTTTTTGCAATATTCATGTTGCACAGTCGGTGTGAAAACAGTTTTATGTGATATAACATGTATGCCTGTCGGCAGTTTCACTTTATGAAGAGAGTGGACACGATCCAGATCTATAAACTGTTGTCTTAACATCAGGTGGACAAGACATACGCTTGCATTGTTAACATATTCTTACGGTTGAGAAATGCATATCTCGACTTCTGTTAAACCCTGTACATTGGGAAATCTAGCCAATTATAAGCAATGCAGTAGCGCCTCTGTTGGCAATTCAAGTGGGGGAATTCAAGTCGGCTTTTGGTATAGATTGTTTTGGTGCGGCTGGATATGAATGGCAGATTGATGGTTATGGTTGTGTAAATGGGTTGGGTTTGCAAAACCCTCCAGCTCCTCTATGCTCTTGTGCTGTATGCTTTCTTCTCTCACTGTCCTTGGATAACTGTAAGTCTCTCTTGTTCAAACACAATTTGAAAACACTGCACTGCTGTCTGTTGTGGCCCTCTGTCAATAATGTATTATTGCTCTCTGGTGATTGGAGGGAAGTAAAGGCTAGGCCTGAGAGATTGGGGCTGGGTACACTGTTTCCCAGGCAACCAGTGGTCTTATTTACCCTAATGCCATTCACTTTGATTTTCACATTTGGTCTCCCAGCAAACTAGACAGTAGAACCTGTGAGTACTTGTACTGTGAGCACAAGAGAATAGCTCACTAAGAATACAGTTGGGTAAATACTGGAGCCGAACTTAAAGTATTCCAGTCACGAAACGCAAAGACTTTGGCTTTGCTTGTACTCTGTTGGCCATCTGCCAACAGAGTAACTAACTGCACTGTGTACCTGCTTTGGTATTTCACGGCCACATAGACCCCTCTCCCCCTCTCTTTAGGCCCCATTGTCTATTTGAGGAATGTAAAATGACTTTTCACTGGATCCTTCAGAAACCCCAATCAATAATCCTTTTGGTAGCCATTAGGTATTTTTTATTTTTGCCCCCCTCTCCCTGACTAATAAACAAAAGATGTGTTGGCACAACCATGTACACAATATGTCTGGAGCACACTGATGCATACGCACCAAACAGGGATAAAAGCAAACTCTGTCTTGGTTCTACTCCTACTGCTTCGGTCTTGTCCTCTCCCCCTCCCTCTCGCTGCCTCGCTCCCATTCTTGAAAGAGAAGAGTTACTCTGAACTCGGGGCTTTGATATGGTAATGTAATGGTTGGGGTTGGAGGAGGGGAGGTGGGGCATGGGGGAGGGGAGGTGAATTCCTATGAGTACTGCAGTTGGTTAGATTGTTTTCATTGTAAAGGAAATGTTCTGCGCAAATGTCAGTACCCACCCTCCCCCTCTGCCACCACCCCAAAACACCCCCATTTTACAACAGTTCCAGTGCTGTTCTAAGCTCCCACATGAAACATGACCTCTGTCTGTGTGAACTATAACTTTTGTGAACGCTTTATTGAAGATGCACTACAAGGAGGACATGAAATTACTTGAAGGGACTCTGCGAATGATCAAAGAAGAGTCTGTGGTTTTGCTTCAACTCGGTTCTTTTACTCTCTTGTTCCCATGGGTATTTGTTGTAAAAAATAGCTCATGGTGCAGTGGGACAACTAATACCAGCTCCTCAGATAAGCCCCTGCAGTTCATTAGTTGTCCTTTAGTTTTGGGCATGTGTTTCCTTACTTTTATTTCCTTTGATGCTAACATGCCAATAGTGAGTCTGTCACTCACTCTCCTCTTCCACGTTTATCAAGTCCATCTTTCCAAGCTTGAATATTTACAGCTGTTTATTTTTGGAAATGTTTTAAATGGTTGCAAAAATAGTATTGCAATAGTTATTATTTCTTTGCTTTTTTTACCCTTTTAAGGTGTTCAGTATTATTTCAGGCCTATTCCCTACCCCGTCACAAGGACAAGTTCACAATCATCAACTTTGTACATCTAGAGGAGAGTCTGACAAACGTCTCTATCAATCTACTAGTTGTATGGATGTAGTGGAAAGCTATCTTGTCTAAAACTGAAAAGATCAGAAAGATCAGCTTTATTTTGCATTAGTATCTTAGTTTAATCTACTGATTTTGGACATGTGTGTATAAATCTGAATGTCAGCGCTCCTCAGAAATACAAAATTGCCTGCAACAAATAAGAATCTCATGAACATGTGACATCAACTATTTTGTTGGACTTTGGTTGCTGTTTGCCCCACACACAATAAGGCCTCTTTATTCTATGTAGGGTCTTGAGAAGAAGACATAAATTCATACAGTCATTACATTTTTAGTTTATTAAAACAACTGAAGTTATTTCGGACAAAACTGTATTTAATTTTGTTTTCATATATTTTATTACAACAGGAAAAGTATCACACATTCTTTCTGCTAAACTAAATGCGCTTAAATATAGGGTTTGAAAAGCTGATATGAAAAAAGTAAATTTTCTTGTTTATTTCTTTCATTGGTAAAAGTATTTTTTTATGCCTGGTTAATTTCTTCCAAGAAATAAGCATGTTGGTTGAATAAGAACATTTTAACATCCAGAACTGCCAAAAAAAAAAATTATTTTATGGTTTATGTGTGCATACTTCTTTTCTCTGCCAAAATGTGGAATATGGCGGCATTGTTTCTATGGCTATTGTACATGATGCTTGGATGACTGTTGAAAATTCATCATTAGATGAAGTAAATAGTTTGAGATGCTGAGTGAAATAACTAGTCCTTAAACTAAAAGTTCATTCAGAGAAATGTTTGTTCAGACAAAAATGATTAACTTTGATTTTTTTTTTAAATTATCATTTAGTATCCATCCATCCACAGTCATCTTGGCCTTTTGTTATGCATGTTTCCACTGTGGGGTCAAAAGCTGGAGCTATTATGTGGATCACATCCGGTGCCAATAAGAGTCCTTCTCTTCGAGACTGTTGCTGCAGATCTTGGCCACTGCAGAAAGTAAAATGCTTTTAAAACGGAAAAATCAGACCAATTCAGTATTAATATCAGATTGTGTCATAGCAGGCATAGTTTAAAAGCTAAGAACTGTCACTCCAAACTTTGTGGAAATGTCTGTGTTGATCCAGACTCTTGAGTGTGTGTATGTCAGAGAGAGGAAAGGAGTTCCAGTCGGAAAAAAAAAATATGTACCAATAAAACTGCAAAAATTGGCTCACAGAGAGTTACTCCAGACCTTCTGGAGATATGTAACTGCATCATGTTGTAACTTGATATTTCTGATGCAGTCTTATGTGTTTGCTTTTTTAGAAATGGGATGAAATAGAACTCTGGTCAAAATTACAAACTGTGATTTTGAAAACACAATTTATAATCATATCATTGTGATTAAAATCTGAAACTGAATTACGGTCTCTTCTCGTTCAAAGAAATTTAATAATTAAAGGCTTTGAGTTGTGTCCCAGAGGAACAATAACAACATGCAGGCATGCAGCTCTGGCAGTGTTTCTCTTCCATTTAAACTTAAAATTTATTCATAATCCACAATCCTTAGCAGTTGTGATTGTGTTATTTTGTATCATGGAAGGAAAATGCAGTAAAATATTGTAAAATTACTGGATTAAATTCTTAAAATCCCTGCTCTGACCTTGGAAACGCACCTAAAACCCTAAAGTACAATAGGCATTTAGTCTGTGGGCAGTTGAAGATCAAGCCAGACAGCTTCCTGCTGTGAGGTGACTGGTTTAAAGAGCACTGGGAAGCCTGCTGAACTGGTTAATGCTAAGGAATTTGGTGAGCCAGTTGTAGTTTGAGATTTATGCTGTTTTGTTCTTTGTTTTAAACCTGACTCTTTTTAATTTTAGTTATGGCACTTTTTTAAAAAAAAAAATCCCAGTGTATTAGCGCATTGTTTTCCATTTTGTGTACATTATCAATGGACTACATTTTCAGGACAGTAATGAACTCCATCATATTAATTGTGTTGCTGTAACAAAAATCTAATTACCGGTGCTAAGAGGACCCGATATTTGTCAAA